ATGAAACCATACAGCGACTTCTTGGAACTGTGGGTAAACCACTAGAAACGTCAAAGCTGATTGATTAATCAATGTGTGACATCATAGGGTCAAAAACCGCTCGTACGGCCCCCGACGCAACCTTCCAATACAACTGGTCAGATCAAAAACAAACAAAACATAGATCTGTATTATAATCAGATTGCATTATGTAAGAGATAAATCTGCTTATTGTATGTCTTCCTTCTGGCTTCAAATGTTATATAAATTATTATTTAGACATTTATTCACATGAACTCTCTAGAACATCAGATGACTAAGCTATCAAGCGATTTAGATAATCTCCCCCATAATATCTTCGTTAAACAATAATCTTGAATTCGGTTATCAGGTAACATTGCTACGATAATAAACAAAGTCTTAGTTTTCAAGATTCATGAAAACTAAGACTTTGTTTATTGTCGTAGCAATGTTACCTGACAACCAAGCACTATTTCTTTTCAAAACTTCAAACATTCATAACTTTGCTCAGAATATGAAGTAATTTGACTGACATGCTCAACATATGCCCTTTCCATTATCTATTTTTAAACTATTACAGCAAGAACGGTCAGCTCTTTATCTAAATCTTAAATAAAGTTATTTTAAGCTAGAACAGAAGACAAGACAAGACAAATATCAAATCAAATATATATGTTAGTCATCCTATGATAAAAAATAGATTACAGTAAAATAAAATAGGAAAGGCAAGACCATTTATATGGAATACAATCACTGGGTTTATTCCCTGTATAAATATAGTGCCATGTTCTCTTATTGTTTCCAAGCACATATAGTTTATGTATGAGAGGGTGGGTGCTTGTTTTAAGCTGGTGGTTAATTTGTCAAATACAGTAAGTATTAGATAATTGTAAATAATCCTACATACCTGTACAGCTAAAACTATTATAATACACACTATAGCTGGTATTAAATACAGACCAAGATCAAAGAGAAAATTAACTCCCCAATAAATGTTAAATGTTATTCCTGATACACGAAGTTGACTTTTAAATTTTATCTGGAAAAAAAAAAGAAAAATAATTCTTTATAAATACTATATAAAAAATGAAGCATTTTTTTTTTTCTTTCAGTAACTGGATGCAAACTTTTCATGGTCAGTCCCTAAAACTAAAGTTCAAATTGGTGTAGCTTTATATTTTATTTCCCTGGTTTTTAGAAAATGTCTGAGTCGATGCAGAAAAGTAGGACATTAATACTCATTTCATTTCATTTCTGTTAAAGAAATGCACAAACAAATCAACCATCACCTAGTGTTTAAGAGAACCCCAGGCATTACCAAATAAACACATCACAACTCAGCTCAAATCAAATCTGAGAAATAATAAGGGATATTTATTTTTTATTTTTTTTTTTGGGGGGGGGGGGGGGGGTCGAAAGTGAACAATATATAAATGCATTACCTCTTTAATCTTTACATGATTTGCAGCAAAACCAGCAATCGTGAAAACAAAAGCCATTCCTAATATCATTATAGATGAGAAGGCGGTACCATCGTAAGATCTTTTGTTTGTCAGAGCTGGCCACGGCAGATTAAAAGTATTGATTGAATTGACTCCAAGTAAAATATTAGACATAATATTGACAATAACTGGTAATGATAATAGAGCTGTATCATTGTATAATGATGTGTATGCCAGAGACTGGAAAAAAAACAAAACAACAGAATTCTGTTAAACTTCATGTATAAAAGCATCTAATGAAAGATTTAATTCTTTTTCATAACCTTGCAGTTTAAACAGACATTTTGCAAGAGCTAAATATGTCTGTTGCAGGTCTTTAGGCATGAAATGTTATGTAAACCATTAATTATACATCTATTAACATGAGAAGACCATAATCAACTCTTGATGCCATCGGTTATTTCCGATATTAAGTAGATTAGAACCGTTCAGCCATATTTTGATGTAATTTAAAAATGAAGAGCCGATGCTTGGCTTCGAACAACCAGTATGGTGGTTGCAATTAATATCTTCCCTCACAGTAGAGTAATTTGAATGAAATTTCCAATATACTGAATTTACATTATCTTTTTTCAAACTATTATAGCAAGAATGGCTAGCTCTTTATTTAAATCTTACATAATGTATCTTTGAATATCTCATTAGCAAGTGAGATATAATGGAATGTGATTCATTAGATGCAATAAAGTTTAGCTTTGAGTTAAATGCTTTACAAATGTCATTATTGTTATCATTTTTCACTAGCTTAGTTAGTTACCCAGCACTGCACAGGTGAAAAATCTTAATACTTCTAAAATCCGCAATAATCATTAATTGTCAATTTCATCATTAAATATTGCACCAAACACAGGTTACTATGAAGTTATTTTAAATTTCATAAGCTAAACAGTTATACAGATGATGGTATAGGCTATTACATTTGAATTCATTATATTGATTTACAGATGGATACTGTCAACAGTTACACAAGGTAAATATGCTATGTTTTGATTACTTTTATTGTCGGTGTACACTATTACTATTGGTTTAGATTACTATTGAAGAATCCGTAGAACAATGCTTGTTAACCTGGATCTTGATGATACAGTTGGGGCAGCGCAGGAAAAATATCCTTGAAATTCCCTGAGCAAAAAACTGTGTCTAGATAGAATGGTTTAATCCAGGATGTGTTTTGGGCGATAGCCCTTCTTCAACATGCCCTGGATCAATCCACTCTATCTACACACAGTCTTGTAAAGTTTGTTGATCGGGGAAGGGTTATCTTTACTTATTAAATATTAGCTGGATTATATCCTACTTACTGTTCCAGTAACCATTGTTTGTAGATTAACACCAATATTATGAGGTGCTATCGACATCAGATCAACTGATGCATTCTTAATATCATCAACTTGCATATAAGTATTTAACTGTGTAACAACTGCTTGTGATGTAGAATCATCTACAACATATATAATACTAATGTATATAAACTTACAATCTTGCATATAGAAATGGTTTATAAATTATATCTGACAAAGAGAAATGGGGTAATTGGGTAATTTCAGGAATAATATAAGGTTTATGTATTTTCTAATTTAAAAAATTTGCTTGCAAGAAGGGTTTTCAGCAGTGAGAGGAAAATGGAGAACTCAGAAAAATACATGAGGTGAGACAGGCAACTCTACATTCATACAATGAAATGAAATGGGGTTTAACGTCCTACTGTTCTGCACCGAACTGGTCTAATGAAGAGGGGCATACGCCATACTGTGTGCGATGAGGGAAATTTTGCCTGGACAGCAGCACTACAACCTACTCTTATATATCGAATTATAACTGTCAAGGGATCTTTTACGTGCACGCCAATGTGTTAACAGGACCTCAGTTTTTCATAGTAACCAAACAACTAGACAGCTGTCCTTGTCAGGTCTCCTCCGTCCTGCATCACTGACAAGGGGTAGCACACTGGAAAATCTGGATGAACTTTCTCAGCCAATCCAGGGATCGAACACCCGGCCTTCAGGCTAGCGAGCCAGCGTCTTACCCACTTATAGCCACCGTGACCCCCTAAATTCATACAAGATTTGGAATGAAACCATTTCTTTATACCTTTATGTATGATAAAGTTTAGGCCATATAAAAAATATTCTGGTTCTCAGATATCACTGCATTTTAATATGTCACCTGTTTTCGATTGCAAAAATAAAACATCCTTGTTAATTACTAATGTAGTAATAGAAGATACACACTTCTGCCATTATATAAATTTACATTTCTTTTATTCAAAGAAATATCAATCAGTCTAAATAAAAACCAGCGGCTGCCAGGCAGGATACGCCCACATTTTGCTATCAGGGGCCATAATTCAGGAAGTTACGTTCCGATATGTGCGAATATTGAAAGGAACCGAGATCTTTGGGTTATAAACTTACATTTCAAGTTTCATCAAAATCAGAAGAAAATTGTGACCTCAACCACAACCTTGATATATCATATTTTTACACTATTTGAGTACGAGGGGTGGCGATTTTGTCTGTCAGTTTTGGTCCAATTTTTACGAAATTCAAACTCAATCCATCTTTAGGGTGTAACGGTGATATATTCAAACGTTTTTTTTAAATCGTATAAAAATTATGACCTCTATAGGGTCCACAAACTAAAAACGTGATTTTTCGTACAATCAGGAGCCATAATTCATGAAGTTTCGGTCCGATACATACCAATATCGAAAGCAACTGAGATCTTTTGGAGATAAACCTATATTTCGAGTTTCGTCAAAATCAGATAAGGGGCGACGGCAATATATGTCGACATGAAAATGTGGGCGTATAAAAAAGATAGAAAGACTTGTAACTTGTATTAATATATTATTACTTACTCATAGAATCAACAAACAAGAAACTTGAACTGGCATATTGATCTGGTTTTAAAGACATAGAAATTACATTATTTGTATTGTTAACTTTTGCTCCAAATTTATTGAGAAGAAGTCCAGTTGTGACAAAGATTATCGGCAAAAAAATTTGAGAAATCAACGCAAGTTTCTCTCGTATTTGAAGCAAAAATCTTATCTGAAATAAATAACAATAAACAATGATGTTTGTATTTTGATTTAGATTCGATAAATGAACACTAACATATATGTATATATTTAAAGCGATAATTTCATATTTTCTAAGAAAGTCAAAACATAATTATTTCTGTCTTTTGCTCAATAGGTTGTCAACTCACTATTATACGATCATAGGTATTATTCTCCCACTTAAAAATCCTTTGACCCCGGAAATACTAACACAATTACCTCCCTTGTTTTTCTATTCCCCCCCCATGAAATAGCTGTCTTCAAACGTTTGAATTTGAAGTTGAAAATGATATTTTTGTCAATTTCTCAACTGGCAATAGTGAATTATAGGATTAATAGGAGTATTCTTTAACAAGGTAGGACTGTTTATAGATACCATCTATTTTAAGGCTTTATTTTAATAAATTTTAAAAATATAACTTAAAAATATGAAATTGCAACTTTAACTAGATATGCAAGCAGAATTGAAAAGGCTTTCAGAGGAGAAAAATCATTCCGATTTTTTATCAGGATTTTCTGGTCACAAATGTAGTGACTGGACCATGACTTGTTTATACTTAGCATCTTCTTGTGACATGGGTTAACATACATCGTTCTGAGTATTAGTCAAAATTTTCTGTCATCCGGGTAACTAAAGATAGTTCAGGGTTTCACTTTCTGTTCGTTGTTCCTTTATTGTATAATTTTGTTCAAAGACTGAATTCCATTTCCATTAACATACCTTTAAAAATGCTTTCAGTCTTTGTTTCATTAATGCACTACCTTTATTCAAATTAAGTAAATTCTTTGAATTAAAAAGATTGTTGGCGTCCTCTTGAGTACCATTCTTGTTTATATTGACAGAAACATCATTTACATTAATCATGTTAGTACCATTGGCTGATTTATCATTGGTATCCTCAGATTCTTCATCATTTCCTTTAAAATAAAACAATCATTATAAAATTACTGTATAAAACAAGCAAAAAATAAATTAATGTGGAAGTAACAAAGACTTAATATCAATATAGCACTGAAATTTATATAATTAGCCATATTTTTCCTTTCTTATTTCGAAAACGACCATTGTGGCAATGGAAGTATATTTTTGCTTAATGTAAATCATCATAGACTAGATTACAGAGAAAGAGTAATAGGATTCAACGTCCACTGGACACAAATTAGGTCATTTTGGGACTAAAGTATGATTTCAATTTTATTTCAATAATTCGATTGCGCGTAGGGGTCTTTAGCAATGGGAGGAAGCCGGAGGACCCGGTGAAAACCCTTGAGGTTGGACAGGCGACCCTATTCCTTGTCACGTACAACCGTGGAATCGAACCACGCCAATTGACAAAATGACAGACCTTATGATACAACGTGCACATGCCAACCATTCGGCCATCCAACCCGCCATTAGATTACAGAAAAACAATTTAACCGAATTATTTAAATACCTAATTTCAAAAATACTTCCTCTAATGACGTCATGGAAACACCATAACTCTTTATTCCCATTTTTTCTGCTTTAGTTACACCATCAGATCCTTTTTCCTCCAGAGAATTAAACATTGCTAATAACAAATAAAAACACACAAAAAATAATATACAAAAAATAAACAGGGTTGTTATTTTACTCTATTTTTACAGATTGATAATATTTAAATTAGTTGGCCTGCAAAATTATGTTAATGTTGCAGAAATCAGCTTGCAAAAAATTGATGCCACCGAATCCAAATTTGAACAACTTTTCATATTTTCTCATGAATTATTATATAACGAATCAAGATTAATATATGAGTTCATGAAAGAGACTTATTGTGCTTTTAGATTCTTCATTTCTCTCAAAGTTTCCCCCCACTTCTACCTAAATTTTCAGGAAGGAGAGAGGACTTCTTTCTAAAGTCTGAATTGATCTTGAAGTACAGATTGTCATATTTTACCTGCAAATTTGTCCACTTCATTTAATGGTACTGTGTATGCTAATTCTTTACCATGTGATCTTCTATGCTCTACACCATTTATTTTTTCTTTAAGAAGTTTCGTCACATCGTCAGCATCACAAGATGGTTCACTTATCATACTATATAACAAACAAATAATATTTCAACATTAACTATTTACAGAAATATGTATTTACTGATTTTCAGGTGAAATTTGGTATAAAAAACCCAAAAAAACTTAACCACAGTTGGCCTTCTTTCTTATTGACATCATATCTATATTAATATATTCCATTCTAATGGTCAATCTTATACAAAACAATTGGGAAAATGTCCTTTATCATACTATATTTTTTATTGTTAAAATTAGGCTCGACCAGAGTTCTTAACCCATTTTGAAACGAACCGGTCAGAAGTGGGTCAAATGAGGTCCTGGTAGGAACTGGGTTTTAAAATTTTAAGCTTCCATTCCCTTTAATATAACCAGACTTCAACAAAAATAATTCTTGGTAATTTGTTATGAGGAATATCATATTCTACTGTATGTTATTAGCATAAAAATAACGACAAATAGGTACACCGTTTAGAAAATTTTCCATATTTAATTCACGTACCGGCTTGAAATTCATGTCAGTAATATTCCTGAAAAAATTACTGTATTCGTTTTTTTTGTTTTTTTTCGATGGATATAAGCTGATACGGCACCATGGTATTTCTTCATAACACACAATTTGTAGTTTTTTTTCTATTATGTAACTTGCAAATGTTTTTATTCATTCGTCAATGATAGACACATGGCACAGTGATCATGTGACAACCATAATTGAAATGGCTTTAAAATTAAATTCCATACGACTGTGCCATAAAGCTTTCAATAAAAATAATAACGACAATTTTTTTAAAAGGTAATACTCTGTCAGCATGTGTATAAAATTTAAAATCATAACGATAAACGTTATTTAATTAAAACTAAAACTAGCATCGCTGGTTTACTGACAACAATACACTCAAACATGAAATAGTGGCATATAAACATAAATCATTTCTGTAAATATACAATTTAGGTCAAATTAATTTCTACTTACTTCAGATGGTAGCCTATACCAAATTTACTCTTTAGAAATAAAGATGAACCACAACATCGAAGTTTACCTTTACTGATAATTGCCTTACGATCTGAAAATAATCAATTCAGTTTTAATCATGAAAGTTCTGGTGCAGAAACAAACCCAAGTCAGTTTTTACTATTAGCAAACTACAGTAGGTATAAATATTATATGCAAATACCGATTTTGAAATTGCTCTTTTATGAAACTATAGTTATAAGTTATCAAAGTTATTGCATGTAGAACTATAGATTAACATGTACGGTAAGCAAATTATAAGTACCAACAAAATACACAATATAACTCAGTGCTCACATTGAATTTTGATTTTGAACATTTAATTTAAATAAAAATTCAAATTTTTAGTTCATTTTCATATTTCTAGAAATATTGCATTTTTTAAATCAACACATTTTCCTTTATTTGCATATCTATTTACTGACTTATCTGAATTACTGACCAAACTGACATTAGTTCCTTTAGGAACTGACTCTGATTGGACGATGTCCGCTGACAGTTCCTTTCCATCCCTATATAGCTGCAATACGAAAATACAGTAAAATACCGCTCTGGTCTACACCACCTCTATTCTCAGGCTATTTTGGAACCTTAACTTTCTATTTTTCAGCGTGATTGTTTATTTTTCGCCAAAAGAAATCATTTCTCACCATATATGACACAAATTTATAATAATTCAACAATATTAACTAGTAGAATTTAGCGATTAAATAAACATGCGGTATACACATGTTCCAGTCTCGTAATGGCTAATAAGTTCAAACGTATTTTGTGTACGTTTTTATTCGCGAATTCTCCTTGAAAATATCTTTCAATTATTATAAATGTGTGTCAGCTGTGGCAAAAACTGATTCCTTTGGCGAACAAAGAATAATCACGGTGAAAAATAGTTGGTAAGGATTCCAAAATAGCCTTAGAACAGAGGTGGGGAAGAGTGTTATTTTTATACTGCAGATATATAGGGACGGATTATAAGAACTGTCAGCTGACATCATCCAATCAGAGACAGTTCCTAAAGGAACTAAACTGACATCAAATAAAGAAATTATCCAAATTTAAATATTTTGAGAGCATTAATATACCTGCAAGTACATCTGCTTCATCCATAAAATGAGTGGTAAGTACTATAACTTTTCCTGCTTTCTGTTTCTTGAGGAGGGACCAAAGATGACGCCTGGAGTGAGGATCCATACCAGCAGTTGGTTCATCCAGAAATATTATCTATTTAAATAATCCATATTTAATATTCAAAATAGCAGTAATCTACATGACATTAAACCTCGTGTAACAGTATGATGTTATGATAATCTTAATTATTAAAACAAATTAACCCCAATATATTTTTGTTCTGGAAACAATCTTCGTATAGTTAGCACGCTTCAGTTCCTGAAAGTCAAGTGTCAACTATTGTTGCAGGCAGTGACAGGTGTCAAGAACTCCACAAGTTTATTCTAAAGCTGATACCATTTTTTAATACGTTTTGTGCCTTATCTAACAACAACCTGCTATGTATCTTATTCAGCCAGAGTGGTTCACATTACATCAATCAATATTCAATGAACAAAAATTCATAATCTATGTATTATTGTATATAATCTATACTATAAAATACCTTGGGGTCACCAATCAGTGCTATAGCTACCGATAATTTACGTTTTTGACCACCACTGAGATCTTTAGCAAACACATCACCTTGATCCAATAAATCAACATCAGTTAATGACTGCTTTATCTATAATTAAAAACATTAATTTAAAAAATAACAACGGTTTACAATCAATTACAATGCACCAGATAAGAACTCCATAAGGGCACATAGGTATATAGTTTTGTTTTCCTGTTAAAAATATGAATCTCCAGTTGAAACGGAAGTGGATATTAATACTGAATTTCAAACTGTGATGCCAGAGGACGAGAATAATTTAAACAGACGGGTAGGAGAATGGAAAACTATCCAAAAATAATGATGTAAAACAACAACTATTGACCATGTATTTCAGCATAAAACCAAGCCAATAGCAAGGCTGATATCTTCTGCCTTAATCCCAATATAAATAGATGATACATGTTACAAGTACTTGCACATTTATCTTTATCTGTCTATAAACCATTAACTCTGCTTAACCTAATTAAAATGTTCATTATTGAACTTAGTCATGGTATTGAGGTACTGAAACTATAGACCAAATTACAAAATTCAAAGTAAATTAGAATCAAAGTTATCACATTCCAATGAATAGACCAACCAAGTTGCACATCTTACCTTAGCCTAGGCAGAAAATACTCATCCACACCAATTAAGTTTAAACATTCTAACTCAATTAGAGGAAAGTTATTGTGTTCCTAAAGATCTGAGAGACAGACAGACAGATGGACAAGCTTATTTTAAATGAAGTATTTAAAGTTGAATGAATTGTTTTAATCTACATACCACTGACTCTACATTATTGGAAGGTACACCCTTAATACCCGCAAATACACGCAGATGTTCTTTGCATGATAACTCATCATACAATATATTATGTTGAGGACAAATACCACACATAGTTCTTATCTTCTCCATATCACTGCTATCAGATACATCCTATAATATGCATAGATGAAATATAAAAATGTTTACTTTCTGCAGTTCTTAAATAGGGACACAGTAAGATGAAATTGGGTTGAATATCTCTTTGACAAATAAATTAATTATTTTAAGAATAACATATTTATGTATATTTGTGTAAGTAGGATAATTATGCCAGCACGGTTGAATCTGAACCATTAGACACGGTTTCTTTGTCCGTCTTCTAGTTTGGCCCATTAGTGGGAATCAGCAATATTTATATTTTCAAAAAATTAAAGTACACATGAGAATATTTAAAGGATTGAATAACTTGCTAAGATGAAATATTGACAATTCATATATTACAATATGAACAATGTATTAAATATCTTGCCATTGGAATTCAATGAAAAGAAGGCGTAAACACCATTGTCTGGGCAGGATTTCCTCATACCACACTGTATGGCTCATGCCCATCTTCATTAGACTGGACAGTACAGAAAAGTAGGATTTTTATTTTCATTTAGAATTTGGTCAAATAAAAAGCAGAGATTACCGGTTCAATATACCATTTAATATGTAGTAAGAGAGAGGGAGAGAAATGGAGTTTAACGTTCACTCGACACAAAATAGATCATTTTGGGACTAACATATGGTTCAATCTTATTTTAATAATCTGCTTGCACATAAGGGTTTGCTTGCTAGCAGTGGGAGGAAACCCGGAGAACACAGAGAAAATCTATGAGGTTGGTCAGGTGACCCTACTCCTTGTCATGTATAACTATGTCACATGACTCAATGACAGGCTTTATGATCTAAAGTGCACAGGTTAGACCATTCAACCACCCAAACAACCTTAATATATAGTTAGAAGATACTTACTAAATTATTGATAATAGCACCACCACTAGTAGTAGGAATTAAACCATACAACATATTTAATAAGGTTGTTTTACCAGCACCATTATGACCCAATAATCCAGTTATTTGACCCTCATATATATCTAATGATATTCCTGCAAAAAAATAGTTAATATGCTAATTTTCTATTAGCTACTTATTGCATTCCATTGATCTTATACTACAATTAGTTAGTTAAAATGGACAACATGCCACAAGGCAAATAACAACTTTTCTTTATTTAAATTTATCCAAAATATGCAGAATATTAAAGTAGCTAAGTCTCAAACTCAATATCATCCAAAGTCTTCAACATTGAAAACACGAATTATTTGGGGGCTTATGTAAATAAGTCTGGTTTATGCACTGACACAAACTCGTTCACATGTCATGACCTATGCCACGTGACCTCATCTGCCTCTTTTTCGAATCTGCCTCTTTCTAGATTACAGCGCGTAGGCCGAGTCATGCTATATGTATTCGGCAAGAAATATTTCAAGCCCACCTCCTCCCCATCTCCTGCCTTCCTGTTTGCTAAGCCAACAGGGACTAGTTACTTGTTATGCATTTTCACAGCTAGTTTAACCATAAACTAGCTATTCTACCCCAAAGTATGGGGTTACCTATTTGGTTTGAAGTCAGTATTGAATATTATTGTTCAATTTATATACATGTATATATGTTTATGTATTAAATGGAATCTATTTCAGGTACAGTTCAAGATTGGTCTGGGAGCTTCACTCCTCAATCTTACAATCGGAGCTTCGCTCATCCATCAGTACGAACACTCGAGCTTCGCTCACTTCACTGTGATTAGGAGCTTCGCTCATCCATCAGTACTAACACTCGAGCTTCGCTCACTTTATTCACTCACACTGAGAGCGGCAGCCTTAAGCTGTCTGCCAATTGAGTCATCTATCAAGAATGGGGTTTTCACAATACATCAATTCCCATGTATTGGACATTCAGCCATGTCAAACATGTTTGGAGTGGAAGATTGTGAAAACCAGTCATTCACTTTAGTATTCAACATTTTAATATTTCATTTAATGTATATAGAGTAATGCCAAGATATACATGCTGTAGTCCCCATATGCCAAATAAAGTTTTATTGTTTAATGTCAATCCGAGTTTGTGTTTTGTTGCATAAATGTCAATTTAAATCAACATTGATGTTCTGATCTTACCGGGAAAAGATGGGCTTCTGATATTCAATATTTAAGACAAAATAAACATTTTACCATTGGTACAAGAATCGTTTAGCATAATGCGTTTCAGTGCCATTTGTAACACAGGACTCGAAAAACAAGGCTAAACATATTCCACAAGTCATGTCAAACGATGACGTCATATTCTTATCTGGTGAGCATGCGCATTAAATACTATCGGCGTAGACTGAAATAACCAGACGCTAGAGATTGCCATTCGATTGAGACTTCTGGTGAATTTCCCCAAACATAATTGATTTGAAATTAGGGTAAAAACAGAAACGATTGAATATAAATTAGTTTATATACATTCATATTACATTATCATATGCGTTGCGACCCATTTGTGCCAATTTCTAGATCCCAAATGTTATCGACTTAGCTCCTTTAAAGCTAGCAATTTAACAAAAATATGGGCTGAAAATGTTATTTAGGTAGTAATCTACATGTGGAAGATAAAGCCTAGAAATGCAGGTTAGATAACATCTTGGTCTTGATTTTAGTAGCTATAAATCCTGATATAAGAGGTATGCAAAATCAACAGAAACCGAAAGTCTGAAATATCCAGATGTTGAAATACAATGTGAAATATAAAATAATAATATTTTAAGCATATATGAAGGTCTTAATTAATATAACCAACTTACCATTTACAGCATCTATTGTTTCACCCTTTTCTTTACCAGGAAATGTTTTACCTATATTATACAACCTGAAACAAATATATCAATAATACAGCCATTCATTCATATATATAAATAATACAACCATCTATATAATTATTTTTGGATTGGCCTGGTGACAGAACTTTTTAAATGAATGAAATGGGGGTTTACGTGTATATCCTACTTTTCTGCATCTGGTTAATGAAGATGATGGGGATATGCCATACAGTGTGCTATGAGGGAAATTTTGCTGAGACAACAATAGAATTCCAAAAGTCAAGGGTTCCTTTAATGCACACCAATGTGTACATCCGACCTCTCTTTTTTGTCTGACACTCTGCCTCACTGAAAAGGGAGAACCAAGAAGGAAAATCTTTAGGAACTTTCGGGACCAACACAGAGAAAAAACCCTAGACCTCCAAGTTAGTGAGCCAGCACTATGATGGAGTAGATGATTCTAATAGCAACTAAATATTATTATAATATTGAAGACTACTCAATATAGAATTTGGCATAATAAAGTTCCAGAGTTGAATACCCACAAACTTGGGGTTGGAGCATGAGAAGGCCCTCTGAAATATTTTTGGTCTGGGAACATTTTCATTGTAAGGGAGGCCATGTTTTTCCACACATGACTAATTACAAAACAAATTTGATAACATGAACCTGTGATGAGATCAGAATATGTGAACCATAGTACTGCTAACTACTTACCTAATAGAAGCCTTTTCTTCCATTTCTCGAGGAACATCTTCTACATCTTCGTCATGTGTCATATCACTATGATGCGTTATATGCTGATTGTCTATTAAGGACTGTATATCATAGTTGCTCTTTTTACTCTGACACCAATAGGATGGTAATAAACAATACCATGGTTTATACCGTACACCATACTCTCCTACACAAAATATAAACAATACCATGGTTTATACCATACACAATACTCTCTTACACAAAATATAAGAATACCATGGTTTATATAATACTCTCTTACACAAAATATAAACAATACCATGCATATGGTTTATAGCATATTCTCTTACACAAAATATAAACAATACCATGGTTTATAGCATATTCTCTTACACAAAATATAAACAATACCATGGTTTATACAGTACACCATACTCTCTTACACAAATAATACTATGATTTATATCATACGCCATGCACACCATACTCTCCAGGCAATGCAACTTACCTGGAATAACATGATCTAAATAAAATGCCAGCAATCCATACAGTATAAAATCAACAAATAACATCAATATGGGTATATAGAGGGGAAATTCACCTAATGTTGCAGTTTCAAATGTCATACCACCTTTTGCAACATCCAAGAAAAGTCCCTAAAAAAATTAAGTCACATTTAAGTACAAATAAGAAAGTACGTCTGATTCTAATATCACATGCTCTCATTTTGATTTTTGCTTGAAAAACTATGTGCATACAATGAATTTGTGTGAAAAAAAAAGACACCAAATTTTGCATGTCTAGTTTGTCCATATGATACACATCTCATGTTTGGCAGATCATTTACCAACCATTTTAAGATCATCTGTGAACAGTTTAGTCCATAACAGTCCTTCTAAAGTAATACACAATAACTCACTTTAAACCTACATGTACATATGCTGTGTTTTAATATTGAATTTGGAGATTTATGGCCAACCCTATATGGAAACTGAAAGTTTGTATTTCTTCGGAAATGTATCACAGAGATTTCAATAGTTGCACAGCAACAGGATAATGGTTTGCAAAGGTCTTTCATCGCTAATTAACTACTTTTATTCATAGAAAGAACCCTAAGTTTAATTTGTACAACATGAACAAATATTTTCACTTGAGGCCATATGTTTCAATAATAACAATACATATTTACAAAATTATCCTACTTTCATGATAAAAAATAATTATGATTTAAACCCAGATTACCTGATCCACAGCTAGAGCAAGAGCAACAGGAGAAAGAAAGCACAATGCTACTTGACCGCCAGCTCCAACAGAATACGAATATCCATCCACAGTTTGAGTTCTTGTCAATCTCACAGCAAAATACAAGCAACTGATGATAACAGTAGAAAATACTGCAACAATTCCTGCCACTTTAGCTTTCTTAAAGAATGGCGTTAGTAAGAAAGCGAGGTTTATAATTGAGAGTCCGTATAAAAATAACATGAGGAAAAGCAGAAAAATGTTACTATGTGGTAAAAAATTTGAAGCGTAAGCTATAATTATGACTATTATTGTGACAAAAAGTATGAGAATGGCATATATCAATGACCATGATAACCTGAAATACAAATAAAACACACAATTATAAATTAATCACAGTTTTAAAGTATGGACAGATATTGTATTAATAAATTGAAATTAACAATGGATGGTTAATAGTATTAAAAACAAGAGCAACGCTACAGCTGCAATATAGGTCCACATTCCTGCTTTGATTGATATGGTATTCTTAAAAATGAAGAGAATGAAATATGAAAGGTGCAACAACTTTAATATGACAATAGGCAAAGAAGGCTTGTTGTGCAGTTTGTTTTGCAAAAATTTACAGACTAATTATTAACAAAAAAGGGGTGTGACACTGCCTCAAGGGGTCGGGGCATGCACCAAAATAAAAAGTTTCTGTCTTTAAGATACAAGGAATAAATATGTCAAGTTCCAAGATAATCCAATCAGAATTGCAGCCTGTATAGGATAAACACAAACATTAGGCATGGCTCTACCACTAGGGGTCAGAACATGCACCAAATTCAATAGTTGCCGTCCCTAGGCTATAAGGAATACATATGCCAAGTTCCAAGACGATCCATTAAGAATTGTGGCATGCACCAAAAAAAATAGAGGTCAGCCTTAGGGTATAAGGAATAAGTATACAAAAAGTTTTCAAAACGATTGATTAAGCATTGCGGGCAATAAGTGACACACAGACACACAGGAAGAAAATGGGCGTGGCTCCGCCTCTAGGGGTTGGGCATTCACCACAAACAATAGGGATGTTCCTTAGGATAGAAGGGATAAGTATGCAGTTTCAAGGTGTTACATTAAGAAATGTGGTCTGTAGATGACAAACAAATAAATATTCACCAAAAACAATAGGGATCATCCTTAGGGTATAAGGAATAGGTATGCAAAGTTTCAAAAGGATCTATTAAGACACAAACAAAAATTGGGCGTGGCTCTGTCCCACTCCAAGGGGTTGAACATGCACCAAAAATTTAAAAAAGTCATCCCTAGGGTATAAGCAATATAGAAAAGTTTTTAAGACGATTCATTAAAATAGCGGCCTGTAGATGACACACAGACATACAAAGAGAAAATGGGTGTCGGACATTCACCAAAAACAATAGGGATCATCCTTAGGAAAGAGAAATGGGGTTTTACCTACACTCGACACAAACTAGGGCATTTCGGGACTAATCTATGGTTTAATTTTATTTCAATAATCGCTTGCACGTAGGGGTCTTTAGCAGTGGGAGGAAACCGGAGGACCCGGAGAAGACCCACGAGGTTGGACAGGCGACCCTACTCCTTGTTACGTACAATCGGGGATTCAAAACCACACCAGTTGACTCAATGACAGGCCTTATGATACAGCATGCACGTGCTAACCATTTGGCCATCCAACCCCCCCCCCACGATCATCCTTAGGGTATAAGGAATAAGTATGCAAAGTTTCAAAAGGATCTGTTAAGAAATGCGGTCTGTAGACGATGGGCGTGGCTCTGCCCCTGGGTGTCAGCATGCACCAAAATAATAGAGATCATCTTTAATGGTATAAAGAATATGTTTGTAAAGTTTCATGATGATCAGTAAAGAATTGTGGCCTGTAGGCGACACACAGACACACATAAAGTGGCAACAGCAATATAGGTCCACATTATGAATGTGGACGTATTAAAATCAATTAAGAACAACAGACGGTTATTATAATCAGTTTAACAATTTATCTTCACAATATTTTTGAAGTTCTTCAACTTTGATTAACCTGCTAAGATCGCATGAAATGCCAAATGAAAAATAAAGCAAATCATCTACAGTAATAACCAGTGAACTACCACCTGGTAGATATACTGCTGCATTTTACATTTAAACTATTGATTTATTCTTGAATACTTTTCTTACCAAAATACAATATCTCTGAGACCCATCATTTTCATTCCTTCTCGTATCTTTTTCTCTTTTTCAGCCACGATGTTAGTCGTCAGGAAATTGATGAAAAGAGAGTACGCGAACACAAAGTAGATAGATGCAAGGGTTTGCATTATAGAAATATCTGAAGTGAATGGACCTTTAGGCATAAGTTGGACTGAAACATCAGGCATTTCAACAGATGAATTGCTTTTGTGCACCTGGAAATAAGATGGCAAACTCATTACTTTTTTAAATAGATATACACACTGATCATAAATAGATATATGTACACACTAATCATAAAAAGATATACACACTGGTGATAAATAGATATACACACTGATCATAAATAGATATACACACTGATCATAAACATATATACCTACATGTACTGATCATAAATAGATATACACACTGATCATAAACAGAAGTTGTTGGTAGTCATTGAATGTCTTCAACGCATGAACAGACACCCTGTGCATAAAGTCAATTAGCCTCTAGAGCATCCACAAGCAATTGTGAATGGCTAGGCAGACTGGGTGACGATGATTTACAACCACATTGAAATGTGAAAGTATAAAAATAAAATAAAAAATAACTATATCTGTGACACACTCCTATTTTGTTTCACAGCTACTCTTCCAAATAATCTTGGATTGAAGTTGTAGCAAATGATATAAATATGAAACTGACCCTTATTAATGCTGTGTCTATTGCGTTCTGTAACCATATAAATCCTGATGTTAAAAAATTATTTACTTGACACTGTGATCCACCCATTGTACCATTCAATTGATAACTATTTCTACAGCCAGCTTCAATAAAACATAAATATACAATCATAATAACTTCTTTTTCTATGAAACTTTTGTTAATTTAAACAATAATTTCAGTGCAGACTGGTTGGTATTTACTATTGGTTTCCAAAATGGTGGTATTGCAGGCAACTTTAACTTCCTTTGACAGGATGTTCCCAGATATGTCATACATACACCATACAAGGGAGTTCCCCATGATAAAGTCAGAAGGTAGTATATTTGAGAAAACACAGGACTGAACAATCTACATGTAGACATCTCCAGATATATGTACAATCACAAAACACACCACATATTCACATATGCTACATTTTCCACCTCCTTCAGTTGGTTCCTTGGTTGCAGCTATAACCTATTCCAGATTACATCTTGGAGGGTTTTTTGGGAATGAAGAAGTACTTCCACACCTGAAAACTCCCCTGAAATTCCCCTGGGCCAAGTCAGAAGGAGACAACACAGGACAAAGCAATGTAGGCGTCCTAAGATAAACGAACAATCGCACACCACACCACATATTTACATCCCTTCTACATGCAGAAAAGAACAGTGTTTTCACTTGCTTGCTTCTAATCATCTTATCAGAAACTGTCAGTATGAGGTTGACCATCCATAAGCTTCTTTATTTCAACGATATAGAAAACCATATTGTAGTCTCTGTTGTGCTTACAAGAATTATGGACAACAGGTGGACAGATTAAAGCACAATTTACATGTACATTACCAATATTCTTGCCCAATAAAAAAATTCTTTCCTTACTTACCAGTTGATAATGCTAACCAGTTTCCATCTGTAGATGCATCACTATAATCCATTCTTATAGCATAGTCCATTACATTACCACCCTGATAATTAAAAACAATTCCTGCCCCAATCTCCTTAGAGTTGTTTCTGTAGATATCTTCAATTGTTTTCATATCACCATACATCTCATACTGTACAGAACCCAAGAGATTTGAAACATGTGTCATGATGGTTTCGATATTTGTTGTATTTGGAGAAACAAGAATTTTTTTTGCAACATTGAAATGGAATGTGGCATCATTCAATGATTTCAAAGGAAACCGATTAATGGCTGGTTTTGTAGAAGGTTTTGATAAAGCCGTTATCATAGCCAATATGGCAACAAAGTAGATTGGTAAAAATATTTCCTGAAATAAAACAAGAAAAAAATGAAAGGTTTTAAATTTTTATTGTTACCCTGGTTATTTTAGCCGCTTAATTCTAAGCTCTTCATCTGTTACCAATAACAGAAAACCTGTCACTCAAGAGTCAAGATTCTTTCAGCAGTCCTAGTTGAGCAATTGCCATTCTGGTACATGTAGTAATATTTACCTGGATAAGCTGTTTTTTGTTCCTTTTCTTCAGTAAAATGTTCCTCTGCATCAGAGCCTTCAGTTGTTGAAAAAATGAGGCGATTTTGTTGTCTAATATCACTGACTGTTGTGTTATCAATTCACATTCATCTAAAAATATTTAAATATCAATCTAGATAAAATGGAATTTGAGAAGAATTATACGAAACGATTGTTGGGGTATTGTTACATTTTCCCCCTTTCTATTCTATGCTATTCTTAGCTACTCTAATTTATAATTTGTGTTAAAAGGACTATCCCAATTTGAACAGAGTCTAAAAAATACAGGTCCGAGTACGTATGAAATTTAAACGCCAAATATAGGGAATGGTGTATTTATCCTGTCTCAAAATTCCAGCTCAAAATATTGAGTCGGTTGGACGTGAATGTCAATACTGCTTATCCCGACACGTAACCCCTTTAAGTTTTCGGGCCAATGTTTTCGTTGGGTGACCTGACAATCGCTTTCCGTTCCTTTAGTGGTCTATACAGTAAATGACCCATGTGCTGTACTTTATAACGAATAGTTAATTTCACCTACACATTATTTTTATAAAATAAAAGTCTGGTTTTATCTGGACACCGCATAATACATTTTGGGACACCGTCTCCATTTCCAGATGACAACTGATGGGTTTAATTTATTTGAAAACAAATCACATATATTGAGTTAGTTGCTCGGCACTAAGGTAGAGGATTTTAAGGGATTTTAATACAAAATAAAGCCGTTTTATTCTCCAAAATATTATCGGGATTGGCTCTTTAATCAGAAAGTACCTTTCCAGTGTGTAAATCTCCATTTATATAATTTAAAGAAAAGACTGTTTTATGTACCCATTATGGACATTTTTTATCCATATATACTTCAACCATCTTTATTTCTCTTCCTTAACAAGTTAATAAATTGTTTTAGAATTTAATTTGCAGAAGGAAAAAAGTTGGTATCGAGGGATAATTTTAACTAACCCGGTGTCATCCCTGTCAGTGATATTGGAGACCAAGCGATTATTTACTGCTGATCAGTTTGAGCAAACTGTAGTGTTGTGATAGTGGGCATATGTAAATAATAACCCGCCCCCCCCCCCCCAAAAAAAAAAACCCTGTAAATGCAGTGCTCGGTTCCTGATAGATTAGGTCAGCTCTGAACGTAAGTCTCATTACACTCGCCCTGTAATGAGTGTAATGAGACCTACGTTCAGAGCTAAACTACTGATAGATAAGAAACCTCATCTCTCAACAGTATATATCTCAACGTTTTTAGATACGTTCTCCTAGCTAGGTTGGTTCCTGACTGTGTCACTCATATCAGGTGCATGTGCATCAGTTGATCCCATTTTCGCTAAACACCCCTGCGCAGTACGTTGATCCGGCTACTTGGGGTTAGGGTTAGTGGTGGAAGTCAAAAGTAGCAGGGTCAACGTACTAGGCCAACACCCCCCACCCGACCCCAAACAAAATCGTTATGTACGCCCCTGTGTTCACACACAGACCTGTCATGAAATGAGCACTCAACAGAAGCCTACATTTTACCTGTATAATTAACTTTAGAATATTTGATCTTCGTTCTTCTTGTCATGTCTACAACATGAAACTCCCGTGTTTATATTTTTTGTGGTTGGAGACACATGACAGTGACAAATTCTATTATGGGATTAACCCTTTCACAAGGTGTTGCGAAATGTTAGTAGTGTCTTTCCTTATCGACACAGCTCACCAAATATTCCTGGGCCGTCGCGAAACAAGGGCCAAAGCTATTTTTAGTCCTTCTCCCCCTTTCCCTTTGAATATACATTTTCTGTCAGGTTTTGGTGTGAATATTCATGATTTTGAGGCGGAAGGATACAAGAGTTAAGAGGTTGTTTAGGTTGAAATGTAGAGCGGAAAATTGCTTTTATTTGTTATCTCTACTTCCAGGTAAACGATAGATCTTATAAAGCGAGTACAATAGTCAATACAGAGCGAGGAACATGTCAGTCAATTTGACATTATGTATAGTAGAGGCTAAAATCAGATCTTGGATCTACTTGTAAATATTTGTTGGGCCTCGCTGTAAAGTGCGTCTGTTTAAATTAAAAGATTTTGGAATATTTTTTCAATTAATTTCCATAAAAAACACGAAATTTGAGTGATTTTATTATTTTAAATTAAGAATATTATCGTATATGTCCTAGAAATAGAGAAAATCATCGCATTATACGACACATAAAATTAGAACCCATCGGTTTCGCTTTATATAGTGAGTCTTTTTCTTATATTTGAAAGAAATTTGGAGTATTTCTTTCAATTAATTTCCATAAAAAAAAGATATTAGAGTTATTTTATAGTATAAATTAAGAATATTATCCTATATAGGCTATCCTATGACCACATATACAACCCAATCGGGTTCGCTTTATAGTGAGTCTTTTTCTTATGTTTAAAAGATTTTGGAGTATTTTTTTCAATTAATTTCCATAAAAAAAACATATTTGCAGTGATTTTATTATATAAATTAAGAATATTACCCTATATATCCTAGAAATAGAGAAAATCGTTGCCTTATACCACACATTGAACCCAACCGTCCTCGCTTTATAGTGAGTCTTTTTCTTATGTTAAAATTATATTGGGTTATTTTTTTCAATTAATTCCAAATTAGGAATATTATCTATATATCCTGGAAATAGAGAAAATCATTGTCTTATACCACACACAGAGCCGAATCGGTCTCGCTCTATAGTGAGTCTTTTTCTTGTGTTTAAAGGATTTTTTTCAATTAATCTCCATAAAAAACATATTTGCAGTGATTTTATTATATAAATTAAGAATATTACCCTATATATCCAAGAAATAGAGAAAATCATTGCCTTATACCACACATTGAACACAATCGGCCTCGCTTTATAGTGAATCTTTTTCTTAATTTTGAAAGATTTTGGTGTATTTTTTAAATTAATTTCCATTTAAAAAACGATATTTTAGTGAGTTCTTATATAAATTAAGAATATTATCCTATATATCCAAGAAATTGAGAAATTTGTTGCCATATGCCACTTATAGAACCCAATCGACCTTGCTTTATAGTGAGACTTTTTCTTAAGTTTAAAAGATTTTGGAGTATTTTCTTCAATTAATTTCCATAAATAAACATATTTGCAGTGATTTTATTATATAAATTATGAATATTACCCTATATATCCTAGAAATAGAGAAAATCATTGCCTTATACCACACATTGAACCCAATCGGCCTCGCTTTATAGTGAATCTTTTTCTTAAGTTTTAAAGATTTTGGTGTATTTTTTAAAATTAATTTCCATTTAAAAAAAAACCAATATTTGAGTGATTTATTATATCAATTAAGAATATTATCCTATATATCCAAGAAATAGAGAAAATCATTGCCTTATACCACACATTGAACCCAATCGGCCTCGCTTTATAGTGAATCTTTTTCTTAAGTTTTAAAGATTTTGGTGTATTTTTTAAAATTAATTTCCATTTAAAAAAAAACAATATTTGAGTGATTTATTATATCAATTAAGAATATTATCCTATATATCCAAGAAATAGAGAAAATCATTGCCTTATACCACATATAGAACACAATCGGCCTCGCTCTATAGTGAATCTTTTTCTTATGTTTAAAAGATTTTGGAGTATTTTTTTCAATTAATTTCCACATAAAAAAAACATACTGCAGTGATTTTATTATATAAATTAAGAATATTACCCTATATATCCTAGAAATAGAGAAAATCATTGCCTTATACCACACATTGAACACAATCGGCCTCGCTTTATAGTGAATCTTTTTCTTAATTTTGAAAGATTTTGGTGTATTTTTTAAAATTAATTTCCATTTAAAAAAAACCCGATATTTTAGTGAGTTCTTATATAAATTAAGAATGTTATCCTATATATCCAAGAAATTGAGAAAATCGTTGCCTTATGCCACTTATAGAACCCAATCGGCCTCGCTTTATAGTGAGACTTTTTCTTAAGTTTAAAAGATTTTGGAGTATTTTCTTCAATTAATTTCCATAAAAAAACATATTTGCAGTGATTTTATTATATAAATTAAGAATATTACCCTATATATCCTAGAAATAGAGAAAATCATTGCCTTATACCACACATTGAACACAATCGGCCTCGCTCTATAGTGAATCTTTTTCTTAATTTTGAAAGATTTTGGTGTATTTTTTAAATTAATTTCCATTTAAAATTTTGGTGTAATTTTTAAATTAATTTCCATTAAAAAAAAAAGATATTTGAGTGATTTATTATATAAATTAAGAATATTATCCTATATATCCAAGAAATTAAGAAAATCGTTGCCTTATAGAACCCAATCAGCCTCGTTTTATAATGAGTCTTTTTCTTATGTTTGAAAGATTTTGAAGTATATTTTCAATTAATTTCCATGAAAAAAAGATATTTGAATGATTTTATTATATAAATTAGGAATAATATCCTATATATCCTAGATATAGAGAAAATCGCTGCCTTGTACCACACATTGAACCCAATCGTCCTCGCTTTATAGTGAGTCTCTTTCTTATGTTTGAAAGATTTTGAAGTATATTTTCAATTAATTTCCATAAAAAAAAATAACAATAGAGTCTGTTTATTATATACATTAAGAATACTATTTTTTATGTATCCTAGAAAAAGGGAAATTCATGGCCCTATACCACATATAAAACCCAATCAATCGGGCTCGCTTTATAGTGAGTCTTTTTCTTATGTATGAAAGGTCTTGGCGTATTGTTTTCAATTAATTTACATAGAAAAATGACATTTGAGTGATTTTCTTATAAAAGTTAAGAATATTATCTTATATATTCTAGAAATAGAGAAAATCAGCATCCTATACCACATACAGAACCCAATCGGCCTTGCTGTAAAGTGAGTCATTTTCTTATGATTGGTTGGGTTGAGCGTGGACCCTCCTACAGAAAACTTTTAAAATTACGGCCCTTTCCTGTCGGGTTAGATACAAAGTGGAACCAATGATTACATTGCCCAAATCTGACGAAATACGGAGTTATCAGGATTTTTGCACGAAAAGAGTTGTTTCGATACAGATCGAAAATTCTAATTAGACAGTGATTCTGCAATGGATAAATCGCACTCCTTGGAAACAAAGTTGACAAGAGAAATGTCGCATAGATGCTTTAACATATAACATATATTTTACATAATAAGTTTCTTTCCAGCTTTGTGACTTGCGAACATGTTAACTGCAACAACTCACCCGTTCCAATATTATTACCGTTATTACCCCCTTCAAGGCGGTAATAATATTGGAACGGGCAACTCTATACTGCACAGCGAGGGGAGCGCTTTCATGCGTCCCTTACCCATGTGGAACGCAGGTGGTGATTCTTGATTCGTGCAAGAGAGCAGTATACATTTGGGGGGGGGGACTAAGGAATATCCCAACACCAAATTCAGCTCGTTGCGTGCATCCAATACTATCAGTTCAAAAAAGAGAAGAAAGCAAATGAGAATTCTAACATCGCATTTGACTTTTAGGAATAAAATGAAGACGGGTATATACCATGATGTGTGCTAGTGCTATGAGGGCGTTTCCGCCTACTCTGCCGAATCTAACATGTACACGGGTATCCCAACCGAACGACACGGGAAAGCCACGCTGGAAAATCCCGTCGAACTTTCTCTGCCAACACCGGGATCCATCTCGGGTCCTCCTGTCAGTGAGCCAGCGCATTACTCACCTAGACACCGTGGCTCATCGCCATTTGTCGAATATAATTGGCCTGGCTCATGACTCATGTACCTTAGCACTGAACACAGGCAAGGGGCCTTTTTTTCTGTCTTGAGGGCCCTTCTACTAGACCTAGGGGCTCTATTATAGGGGGTCCATATTATGTTTTCTCCCCGGAATTGGCGTTTTTTCTGTTTTATTTTTAAACATTTCCCATTATTTTCGGGTCGGAGGCTGGCGCCACCGCTATAATCCGCTTCTGACAATAACCCACCTTTAATTGAGGTAGAATGTTTAAACTTCGTTTAGATGTTCAATGGGTGAATGTCTTGACTGTGTTCGATGATTAACATTTTGCGCTAAGGCTAGGCAGAGATAAGCAATTTGGTTGGTTGATGTTTTGGGACACGATAATTAAGTGCTTTGTTTCGTCTTTTATATTAGCGATTTGTACTTCTTTCCTCATCTAATTAGATGATGATGATGATGATGATAATAATTATTTTATTAAAGTGTCACAAATCAGTAGAATATTTACACATTTTATACAACATAAAACACATGATTTCTGGCCAACAAAGGCCTTTGAGACACTGGTTAAAACATTAAAATACTATAAGGCAATAAATACAGATATATAAGGCAATAAATACAAATATATATCTAAAATACAGATAATAAATACAGATAAAAGAATTATGTAAACACCTGTTTCTAAAATACTTATTCTAATCATAAAATTTCATATACTATATGTTTAAATTAAAACCAGTCATAAAATTTCTAAACATTTTCGAATACTATAAGGCAATAAATACAGATAACCCAATTAATTAAGTAAACACATGTTTCTAAACTACCTATTCTAATCACAAAATTTCATACTATGTTTAAAGCTATGTAACCATATATATAAGAGTAAACATTTTGAGCCTGTCACAGAATTTCAAACTATACAACGTTTTTCAGGATGTTTCGTCTATTATTTCA